TAGCTCACTAAAGTAGTGAACATGTTTGCAACTTATTTGTTCCAACGAATCGACATAATTAAGAGGGTATTGGAGTCCATTAAGTTTCAACGAATAATTTAATTCGATTAAAAAAAAAAAAATTAGCACAGAAATTTCAAAATTGGTTTGCTTGAATAAGCTATCATTTTGCGAGTCATGTTACGGACAGACTTTTAGCCCAAATTAGGAAAGGGCAAGATAAACTTTCTAATTAGGACCAATCATGTCAAATAAATAGAGAGTTGAAAGAAATTCTTAGGAAAAAAAATTGGATTCAATTGTTTTCGAATGGGTCCATGCAACGAGAATTTTGCAAGACCTTATGGAAACCTAAAAATTCTTGCAGAATTTATAGCTGGACAATTAAATAATCCAAAAAGGAGTTTCAGGAATTGGTCTGATTCTATCTTTGATATCATTGTTATTCAGGAACTTATTTAGAATTATCGTAATTAAAGATCTACTGAGTACGATTTGACAACGGTTTTGAGTCGGGGATTGGAAAACTTCCTTATAGAGAATATCCTAATTGTTCCAAAGCAATTAGAAAGAGATTTTCTTTTTCTTTAAAAAAAAAATTAAAAAACCAGAAATAGGGGCATATTTAGTCCAAACTTGCCCCCAAGCCTAATTAATTTTGTAAAGGAATTTTTTTTTTCGAAATTTCTTTTTTTTTTCATAATAAAAATTTCCTTTTTTTTTTTTTTAATGTATCAATCTAATATCAAAATTCTTTTGTTCCCCAGACTCCGCCTTGGTTGAGAGATAAATTTCATATCAAATAAAAATAAAAATATAGATCAATATCCAAGAAATTGAAATACTCTTATTAACATGTTGAACTTTTAAGATGGAATTTAATTCATATGCTCCACCCTACCTCACCTAATTCATCCTTCGAGCATATTAGAAGAGCAAGGGCTTCGAAAATTTCATATAATCTATTCTTTTGTTGTTATATTCACAAATTCTTCTCTCTCTTCGCATAAAAAAATTACTCAAAAAAGATAACTTCACTTTTTATAAGTTTAATCAAAAATAAGTTCATAAACCTTTAATTCATAAACATTTATTTATTTTTCTAATCAACTGTTCACATAAATCTTTATCATATTTTTCTTCTAATGTGAATATTTCGCATTTCGTGATGAGCACTATCTAAAAGCGGCACAATCACGTGTGTAGACTTGGTCATATGTTCAAACGTATTATCTGATGTGGTAATCTCACCAACCAATCAGAATAAGTTGTACCGTCCAAACTCGATAATAATATGAAGGGGAATTTG